ACAACCTAACCCAAATGAAGCCTCAGAAAGGTCAGTCACAAAATATGAATCTTGTAATGGAAGAAATCCATTTGTTTGCAGAGCTCATTGCCGAAATCGGAGTGGAGACAGCGAAGAATAGCATTATAGCTCACATAGATTATATATAAAGTTTATTATATGATATATACATAAAATGCAATGCATTTCACAATCACTTTGTAAAACTTGTATGTGGTTGTATACACATGAACGAAAGCATTGATCATTTGTGAGACTGAGATTTGATGGACCGGTACGAAAATGAACTGAGCATGAGTGAAAGTACAAAAGAAAGACGCGAGAACTCGTTGGGAACATCACTAAACACAGGCACAACCAAAGAACAGGTCGATAAAATTCACGCTTTTGAGGAATAATTTAAGAGCTTTTGGGAGTCATCTAATAGCTGAGCTGAGAACGGTTCAAGAGAAATCATCGTTGCGACTAGACTGAATATGATTCATAGACATGAATCTATTCTGTTCACACGTATTTCGCGAAAAACGACATCTCATCTGAAATTATTTGGATTTGACAACTAGCAAATTTTGATTACATTCAAGAGAACATAAAATTAAGTATAAAGGTAATTTTCGGACTAACCAACAAAACATTCGCAGGATACCCTAACATTCAGGTTGAACTTCTTCCATATTTGGCAATCTTTTGTACCCACATTTCGTAGGACTACAAAATTCATGTGTTTTTGCCGGCATTTTCCATGTGCTGAAATCAATTACGGTGAAATAATATTTGTACCATAATAAACTATGGTCAAACTCACGATAATCATAGAAATAAAGACAGGCCTTATCACTGTCGCACGTCACTTCATTGATAAAAGGCGGAAAAAAGGTTTCAGGAAGGTGTCGTATCGCCTGCAAGCAGAAATATAAGCTCTATCTGAACAATTGTGAAAAAAAAAGTAAGGAAGGATGTAAAGGCTGACATGCTGATCGATTGACTGAGGCTACGATATAATGTGTTTCTCAGATTCATAATTATTGATATCAAGAAATGCAGAAGATTACGGCATTTATCATTATTTTGCTCTAATTATTTG